AGAGTCCAGAAATGACTAATGAAAGTCTAGATAAAGGGAAGGAGAGCAAAGAGAAAGGTAAAGGCAGGAAATGGTTTGGGTGTGCATGTTAAAGTGAGTGATATGAATCAACCCATTGGATCCAGTTGCGTCAAGGCAATCACATCACCAAAAATCCAGGCATTAGGCATACACAAGTAACTGTTCTGCTGGGTGGTTGCTTGTAGGCCGGGTGCATGCGAAAACGCGAGAATGGGAGGAAGAGGGAGTGGTGTGGAGTGAGATAGTACAGAGAGGATATGGGTAATAAGGCTGAAAAGTTGTAATAAGGAAGGGGGTAGAAAATGAAGACAATTGTGCAGGAGGAGGGTGGAGGATATTGGGAGTGAGGAAGGGGTGTCTTCTGAAGGTGGAGTTATAACCAGGGTAGATGATTTGGAATGGGTCAAGTTGACTGCACGTCTTGAAGAGTGGCTGTAGTAGCAGTTGACATGGTCCACCATTATCTGCCATGGCTGGACCTGCCATGTATAATTTACAGGATCATTCCCAAGTTTCAAGAACCAATTAAAGCTTTCTATTTCCTTAACCCCTTCATGATGGGTGACGCTGATAGGCATGGAAAGTAACCACTCAAAAAAGTGGCTTGCGGCTGTATGCCGCGGTGGCGCACCAAAGTATGGGGAGCCGGTGATTTAGCCTCACATACCAAACTCCCGCACTCAAAGTCGGTGCGCTGCCATGGTTCGCCAGAGCGTAGAGTTTTTTTTTTTTTTTTTTTTTTTTTGTTTTCTTCACCTGTCACCACTGAGTTAACCCATTCGCGACGGGGAAAATGAATAAAAAATGGGGAAAATGCTGTGCTCATTAAATTTCTTTTTTCTTTTCTTTTTTTTTTTTTTTTTGAAATGTCTCTACGCATAAATGGCTCTGCCTTACCTGATTTCATCTTTCCTTGAATTGGCGGGAAAATGTATTTTTTACTAGTGCTATGAATATCGATGGTTTTATTTCTATTATAAACATTAAACATTACTATAATGTTAAATGGGCGAGACAGGCAGTACTTATAACTGGCTCATTGGTAATTTAGTGTAGCCATCTATGTGTAAAAACAATTAACCCCTTCATGATAGGTGACACTGTTAGGCGTAAAAACCAACTGCTCGAAAAGTGGCGTGCGGCTGTACACTGCGGCTGTGCACTAAAGGCCTGATGTACCGAACTCACGTGCTCAAAGTCGGTGCGCTGCCATGATTCGCCAGAGCGTAGAGTTTTTTTTTTTTGTTTTCTTCACCTGTCACCATTAGGTTAAACAAGTAAACTCACAGTGGGCATGTCACGTATACGTGACATTCTTGAAGGGGTTAATTCAAGAATAAGATCAACAAAATAATATGTGCTCTCTCTCTCTCTCTCTCTCTCATTCTTTCTCTCATACAAACACACCAAAAACCAAGCTATTCTGCTAAATTGTTAATCAAACTATGCATTATTTACTTAACTGTTGTTTGTATATCTCTTTGTAAGTACAATGTTGTTAATTCCCTTGATCATTTCAAGAAACTTTAGTTAATGAATACATTACATAACATTAAAGTACTCATTATTGTTTATAGATTGAAAAACAGTATCTAAACAAGGGGGCTATATAAAGCACCTTAACAACCCCATGCCAGCTATAAGGAAGCTTATCTCCTTGCCAAAACCCATTATTTTCACAACTTTAATAAAAAAAAAAAAACACCTTTTACATTCTAAAATCTTACTTGAGGCCAACTGTTAATCACCCCTCTTGGTGGTAAGGTTTTAAAGAAAGCATCAGCCATATAGTAAAGTGAGTAAGCTGTATAATCCAGTTTCCAGATGTATAAACAGAAAAAAAGTATCTATGTGGAAAATATTTTCAAATGCCAAGTGGGGTCATGTATCAGAGAGGAGTGGTTAAGGAAGATTTATAGGCATCCTCAATCATCAATAATTATCAGAATCATTGAAAATGTACTACTAGCAACTTCAATATTGAAAAGGTTTAGGCGCATCTGTGTATTTATCCTGATGTTTAACTTCCCCACTAAATGATACAAAGCTAAATTACAGAACAATGGAGCTCAGACAAAACCTACAATAGTATGGTAAAAATAAATACACCATGAAATCAAAATACCTTATTATTGACAGATCCGTTAAAATGTTCACTAGTTCGAGTAATTTGGTACAGACCATCATTAATCAGAAAGAATCCTATATATCACAATGCAGTGGAAATGGGATGGCATATGTGACTCACTGTTATCTTTGCCCTAACATGCAAGAGTGATGTTAAAACAGATCCATCCCTATATTAAGTATCATAAATGTCAACTTTTATTTGATAACTTTTTTAATGCAGTTTATAATAAAGTGTAATCACTCAGCTATATTCTGTTGTAAAAAAAAAAAAAAAAAAAAGTTCATTATCTGTAAAATGTGTGGTGAATATGGGGCTCATATGACAAGAGAATTGAGAAGTGGCTGAAACCTAAAAGGGTGAACATAATTGTTACATAATTATCACATGGTCATGATAATAATAATAGTTATTATTCTTGCATTTCTTAGGCTCTACAAGACGTAAACATTTAATAATAAATTCCGAATTCTTGAAATTCCTTACACTGATCTAGGAATAACTTTATCCTATGAGATTTAAGACAAGTATAGCCAAGCCAAGTATACAACTTGAAGAAAAAGAGCTGCTCCAGTCTACAAATCCTTCATTATGCTTCTAATCTTACAATGCATAGGTTTAGCTTAAAGCTACATCAATTTGAAAGCTGAATAACTTATGCATCTTTGGTCACATGTAAGGAAACTTTACATATTCTCTTGGTTTGACCAATACTAAGAATAACTCAAGTTTTACTCTAGTGTAATTAGCCCTTTACAAAATATGCTTAACGTGCACTTTGCATACTATCCATATGCAAAAGGCATATCCATAGGTAATGGCTTTGAGAAATTCAATCTGTGCTAAATTCACATTCACTAAACTGGTTTACTAACACATTTGCATGTTGTGTGTGCTCATACATAAGACTGTCTGTTTGTAATGGAATTAGTCATTTATACTGTGATCTTCCCTATCTGGTTAGTTGCATTTTATGTATGTACATAAGGCAATTTTGGGAACTCCAAAGTTAGCAGTATCTTTGAATAATAAAATACCCTTTAACTTATTGTGCTGGCATGACATGTATGTCTTGCCCACTGTGATATTAGTCAACAGATTTTCTTAACATACAGATGACTCCATTAGTGCCCAAGGAGTCAATTATTGGTCCTACCTATATTTCCTGTTTACCCTTTTCCTTGATTTTTAAAAAATCTTTATTGCTATTAGTATTTTACTATCATACTAATTAAAGGAATAGGGAAATCAGGTGGGGTCACATAGGGCCTACTAATTGTCTCCTTAGAGGCTGGGCACTTGTGGAGGGATCTGTGGGTCGCAAAATTCACCTAAAACACAGTGGTCAGTACATGTACCGGATACCAGTGGGTTAAAATAATGCATAGGTAATTTATATGATTGTTTACTTTTATACATATATATATATATATATATATATATATATATATATATATATATATATATAGATAGATAGATAGATAGATAGATAGATAGATAGATAGATAGATAGATAGATATATATATATATATATATATAGATATAGATATAGATATATATATATATATATATATATATATATATGAATTTTTTTTTTTTCTGAGAAAAATTTACTCTGGACAATAGAAATACATCAAATTGCTTTACCTCTTTTATAGTTTCCTCAATCACAGTAACAGAGTAAATTATTCTCATTTACTGCTATGGGAAGATTAATAATATGCATAAATTATTTTAATTAGGAACCTTATTATTTTAACAATCATACTGGCTCTTCCCATTACTCTCCTTATATCATTCAACTTTCAGTTTCATCCTGTAAAAGCAGTATCAGCAATTGTTAAATTTTGCCCCAAGTGAAGTGTTAACCTGATGCCACCAGGTATAGCATGTACACATATGCCGTGCCCACTATGAGTCTACTTAATTAATTGTCTTTACACAGATGGCTCCACAAGCACTGTAGCACCAATGACCCAACTAGTGTTTGCCCTTTCCCTTGATTTTTTTTTTAAACATATCTTCCTTTTCTTATACTGCTATTAATAATGTCAATAATATTATAACAATTATAATGTCTATAATAATAACAGCATTGATAGCGACTGAGCTACTAAAAACATTTTTCCTAAAAAAACTCTTTCAAATCTGAAATCAGGTGAGGTTATCACCATGGCTACTAATTGACTCCTTGGAGGTTAAGGACTTGTGGACCATCTGTGTGTAACAACATTTCACAAAACCACACTAGAGTGAATGCTACTTTTCCCAGTGGCATGGGTTAATTATGTGAGTGAAACTTCAATCCCAAGCTAAGCAAAAATATTACCACAAAGTACCTCTACCATGGGAAAAAGCTATGAAAACCTTTAAAAATGGCAAAACTGTTTTGATAGCCAGCCCATACTATATCACTGGCAAATATTGAAAGCCCCAAAATTCTGTAGAGGAACCAAAATCATATTATTTAGCAGCAACATGTTAACTGGTAATTTTCAATGTCTAAATGAGTCACGACTACTTGAAACTGATATTTCATATTACAATGGTCTATTCTGCCAAAGAGAAAGAGCCAAAGACATATTACAACTTGGAAGCTGCTAGGCAAGTCAGGAGAAATTGGACAAACAAAGCAATACTTAATTGTTAAAACTGTAACATACTTGGGATAGAGCTACCAACCAATAACTTTGTCACACTTGACACACAATAGCTTTGTTTAGACTTGTCAGACACACCAATCAAAGCTGATTATAGATTTTAAGCAACTTTCCACTGAACAAATGCTAACAAGTCTATACACTCAATAATTCCCACAGTGTTATGTTCTGCGACTGCTTTTATTCCTACCCCTCCTATCCCTAGAGCTGCTTGCCGCATGAAACTCCCTGCACTGTTGGCCATGGAAAACGATGAACCACGTTGGGAGGAGTCCTGCCAGGAACAAGTCTTCTTTATAATACTTATAAACTGATGCACTCTGTTGTCTCAGGAAAAGTTCTTTATAGTACATATAACACAGATCCCTGTTTTAACTTCCATATAATAAACTATTTCTCATGGTGATGGAAAAGGCCACCAAAGATATCAGAAGAGACCCATGACAGGTGCAGTATATGAGGATAATATCAATAAATGAGTATTAAATGAAAGTTGTGTTTATACACTGAGGCCAAGCAATAGAGAGAGGTCTAGAGATTAATACAGATAGGATAAAACTACTGATGGGTTGGCAAGGAGAATGAGGAAAAAGTATGAGTACAAAGGTTCTTATTTGGAATATGTTGGTGAAGGACAGAATTCAGTTATATACTGTAAACATTGTGTTGTAAGCAATGGCACAAGAAGTATTCTGAATTGCATGTTTAAAAAGGGGAAGAGGAGGGGCTACTGAGGAAGACAAGACTATAGAAGTTGATAGAGGTGTAACAGTGTTTAATGTTTTAAGCAAAAATAAAGGTACAAGACATCAAAGGTCCCATAGCACTACAGGTGTAACAATGAGAGGCAGAACAATCCTGCTATTTAGGAAGCATGTTGGATAGTGAGGGACAGCAGGTGGAGAGAGAAAGGGTATTTAGATTTTTTTTATCTACAGTGAGGCATGGGCACCAACAAAGCAACTGAAAATTATATTGATCACTGACAACAGGAAAAAGGAGAGAGATATGGCAAATGTCACCTAACAAGTAATGCCTTGAGAGAAAGAAGATTGAGATGGTTTGGACATGAGAAAAGAAGGGAAAGGGAAAGAGAGAGTCATGATTATGATTTGGTAGGCCACCAGACAAGCTAAAGATATCTTGTCTTGTCAAAGGTACTAAAAGAAAGAAACCGTGTCACATTCTGTACATATAAGGATATGCGACACATGTTTATTCCTTCATCTTACACAATTCTTTGTACTTGTGCTGCAGATTGTGGACATGCTAATTAACTGATTCAGCATGGATTAGCAAAAAACGTTAAACATTTACGATGAAACCTCATGAAGTCCACACCTTCTACGACTGGCAATTTGGAAGGAATGAGTTATGCTGTAAAATCATATTTTTCTTGTCATAACATATTTCCTATACCAAAAATTAAAGAGAAAATTCATTAACGCTATGCACCTACATCTCCTACTGATTACCAAGGAAATAAAGACATAAATGAAAAAGACACCCTAACATACTTCACCACCTTCATCCACACAAAATATCTTCAAGGTTACTATAAAAACAGTTAAGCAACTCTAGTCATAAAAAAAACAAATAAAACAAAAAATGTGACATGGTTACCTTGCATTCTCTAATTAATAAGCACTAAAAAGTATTAGATAAAAGTAATTAGTGCATGTGAATACTGCAGCATTCTCTCAAATAACCAGTTACTAGTGTATAAGAGAAATAAACTAAAACATTGCAAAGTAAAACTAACAATGGGTATACAAATTCAAAGTACACAGATAAAGTAGGATTAATATTTAAGCTTTTCTTTAGTTTTCTTAAAATGAAGCTGCATGGTTGATTAAAGTCTGCTATGCCTGTTTTTGTCACATTTTTTACTCAAAACCATATTGATGACATAAGTGCAGTGTTCTTAAAAAATATTTTGATAGTTAATTAGTTAGCCAAGTTAATGTGTAATATGATCAAAATCTGTCAACTAATCTGAAATAAAGCATTAATATTAATTATCACCGTAGTGTAACTAGGATATTGCTTTCTGCCAAGCAATTTCCAATCAAGTTTCTCTTCTAGCTTATAAAATGTTTGAAACAGATATATAATTTTAGGCTTCTAGATGTAAAATAAAATAAATATACAAATAAAAAAATAAATCAAACATATGAATAAATAACACATTGGACATTCATCCCTCAATATCACTTAAGCATCTAATTACTATCATTAAGAAGATTTTAACATGATAAAAATACTCCCACCATTTCTCTTTCTAATTAAAATAATGTTAGTATGGGATGAACAGCCAAAAGTGTTAACAGCATGCTTAAATTTTAGGGACAATAACATCCTGGCAAAAACCCATACCTGTGATTCTGAAGTGTCCGCAGTCACTTGATTTCGAACACGGTCCTGGCAGACCATTACGCAGCGTTGTAGCCGCTCCTGAAATCAGCAGCAACAATTATGATGGTAGTCAGTAAGGGTGACTTTAACCAATATTCCTTGTTATGATTTTGGAAAGACTTAAATCTATAGAGAGAAAAGAAAAAACAATACTGGAACACCAATTATTAACTCACTTTAATTACCCATCAAACTGAAGACTACTTGTCTTGTTAATATCATATACGTGGCATATTTCTGTTATAAAGTAATATCCATACCTGAAACTGTGACAATTCATTTTGCACAAATCCCTGAGCTTGGGTTAATGGAGTTGAACAGCTTTCAATACACCGATGAACCTGGTCGACAGAACTCTCCTTTCTATCACAGCACTCTGCAGCACACAAATGCATTGACCTCTGAGGGGAAAAAAGAAATGTGGATGAAGTAATACTTATTAGATACTTTAATGCCAGGACAGCACATTGTCAAATAATAGATCAAACTTATTCTGTAACTTAAACAGCTTTGTCCCCTTCACACTAGTTCCATCCACTATTGATGGAGAGAGGGGGGGAGAGGGGAGGGAGGGAGAGGGGGAGGAAGGAGGAAGGGAGGGAGGGAGGGAGGGAGGGACAGAGGGAGACAGAGAGAGAGAGAGAGAGAGAGAGAGAGAGAGAGAGAGAGAGAGAGAGAGAGAGAGAGAGAGAGAGAGAGCGAGAGAGAGAGAGAGAGAGAGAGAGAGAGAGAAGAGAGGAGAGAGGAGAGGAGAGACAGGAGAGACAGGAGAGAGAGGAGAGAGAGGAGAGAGAGGAGAGAGAGGAGAGAGAGGGGAGGGAGAGAGAGAGAGAGAGAGAGAGAGAGAGAGAGAGAGAGAGAGAGAGAGAGAGAGAGAGAGAGAGAGAGAGAGAAGAGAGAGAAAGAGAGAGAGAGAGAAAGAGAGAGAAAGAGAGAGAAAGAGAGAGAGAGAGAAAGAGAGAGAAAGAGAGAGAAAGAGAGAGGAGAGGAGAGGAGAGAGAAGAGGAGAGAGAAGAGGAGAGAGAAGAGGAGAGAGAAGAGGAAAGAGAAGAGGAGAGAGAAGAGGAGAGAGAAGAGGAGAGAGAGAGAAAGAGAGAGAAAGAGAGAGAAAGAGAGAGGAGAGGAGAGGAGAGGAGAGGAGAGGAGAGGAGAGAGAGAGAAAGAGAGAGGAGAGGAGAGGAGAAGAGAGTGAGAGGAGAGAGAGGAGGGGAGAGGAGGGGAGAGGAGGGGAGAGGAGAGAGAGGAGGGGAAAGGAGAGAGAGGAGGGGAAAGGAGAGAGAGGAGGGGAAAGGAGAGAGAGGAGGGGAGATGACAGAGAGAAGGGGAGGGGAGCGAGAGGAGGGGAGAGATGAGGAGAGGAGAGGAGAGGAGAGAGAGAATAATTGTAATACCCTTTTCCAGTTCATAACCTATTTCAAGAAGAAAAAAAATATTAATAACAAATTTTAGTTATTAATTTTTTACCTCTTGTCCGGCATTATATGTGAAAAGAAGAAGAAACAAGAAAGAAAAAAGAAAAAGAAAGAAAGAAAAAAAGGAAAGAGAAAAAATAAAAATTAAGCAAAATAATTTGTATGCAAGCTGTCAACATACATTCAGAGAGATTCAAACTCTTTAAAAAACACAAATTACCCAAGATGAAATTCTTTTACACACGTAGTAATCACTGACAACCAAATCAAGGTGCTCCTGGTAGTAGGTTATGTTGACCTTGGCATGAAAGGCCAGGTGACGGTTGCCAATAACTAAAGATAGCTCAACCATAGTTAAACAGATCTCAAGTTATTTTGATTTGAATCCATTTTCTATATCAGGAAAGTGCATCTGTAGTTGTGCAGCTCTACATTATTCAAATATCTTTTTCTTCATATAAGGTCATTAAGAGGAAGACTTCAAGAATTCAGAAATTCAGAAATATTTTCTGTATGAAAGCCAGAGTTACTACTAAGCAAGTTTTTAATTTAGAAAATAATAAGAAAATAAAATACACAAATTATCTTAACTAAAACAAAGAAATAAAGGTGCAGTAAAGCCAAATGAAAACATACCCAGTTGGTGAAGTATAAATTAACCCATTGCCGCCGGGGAAAATGAACAAAAAATGGGGGAAATGCAGTACTCATTTTTTATATTTTTGTGAAATATTTCTGTACATAGATGGCTCTGCTAGTCCTGATTTCACCTTTCCTTGAATTGACGGGAAAAAACGTATTTCTACTAGTGCTATAAATATAGATGGTGTTATTTTTACCAGCAAATTAGGATAACGTTAAATATTTTCGTAAATCGATAGAAAGGGAGAACGGGCGAGACAGGCAGTAATCATAATTGGCTCATTGGATACTTAGTACAAGTGTAGCCATCTATGTGTAAAAACATTCAAACAAGTCGACTCACAGTGGGCATGGCATGTACGTACATGCCATCCCCGGCGGCAATGGGTTAATATGTATATACAAGATTGGAATGACATGAAAAAATCGCACTGAATAAGGAAATTCTTGGGGACTGGAGTATATTAAAATAATTTCTAAAATAATTGATGACATACAGATGTTATCTATTAGATGACAATCACATAACAGTGTGGTTTGGTTTAAAAAGTACAAGCTCAGTCTTTCATATCTCAAAATAAACTGACACTCATTATTCTATTTCAAGTTTTCTCTAGAAAAATTGGTACATTCTATAGCAATATTTGTAACTGGGAGAGGACAATAAATATGTGGAATTGATTGGTTAATTAAATATAAAAACATTCATACATATCAACATTGGTCTCTCTGCCATCAGAACTACAACAAAGGCTAACAAAGCTCCACTGATTATATTCTGGGAGGAGAGAGATGTGCCTTGATCAGATATCTTGAGTGGTGCTGTAATCTTGACAAACCACCCAGTCCTTGCTTGACTTTATGGAAATTTTGCCTTGTTATTGAATTTAACCCATTCGTGATGGGTAAAAATGAACAAAAAATGGGGAAAATGCTGAGCTCATTTTCTATACTTTTTGTGAAATGTCTCTACACATAGATGGCTCTGCCTTACCTGATTTCGTTTGGCGGGAAAATGTATTTTTTACTAGTGCTATGAATATTGATGGTCATTTTTATTATAAACATTATAATTACTATAACATTAGTAACAGCAAAATAATATAACGTAAAATATTTTCGTAAATTAAAGAAAAGGGTAAACGGGCGAGACAGGCAGTACAAGTACAAGTGTAGCCATCTATGTGTAAAAACAATTAAACAAGTAAACTCAGAGTGGGCATGTCACGTATACGTGACACCCGGCGTGAATGGGTTAAAATGTCTGTATAACCATTTCCTTAACCAATGACGCCGGGTGTACAAAAAACTCTACACTCTAGCAAACAAGGC